AAAAAAAAAAAAAAAAAAAAAAAAGAAGAGAGAAAGAGCAAATTCTTCTCTCACAAATTTGATAGAGGGAAATTCAAAAATTGGCTTTTAAAGTAGATTTTAAGCAAGTTCCATGAAAGCTTTCTCAAAACTTGCTTAAAAGCCACTTTAAAAGCCAATTTTTGAATTTCCCTCCAACTAATTTTCAAATTTGTGAGAGAACTAGCTTGTAAAACAAGCGCTTATTAAGCTTTGCCAAACACCCTCTAAATCATCTTTCCCTTTTTTAATCCAATGTGGATCCTTCTTCTGTCTCTTCCTATCCCTTCTCCTTCATCCTCACTCACCCCCTCAAGCATGCAGGCGTGGCTGCTTTGCCTGGAGTCCAGCAAACACCTTTGCAGTGCACAAGCACACAAAAGGATGCTCCAGATCTGAACCACATTCAAATCTGAGCACCCTTTCAGGGCTCCAATGGAAGCCCTTTTGAGTGTGCATGAGCACCACAATCTTGATCAGCAAGAAATCACAGCAGCACACCAAGCACAACATACTCATTTTCTTAAACTCCCATTAATCAGATCAACCTTTGTACCTTTCATGTCCTAGCCCTGATGGAGCAATGAATAGTTTCAATGTATGATCTTATTCAACCTTAATAAATAGCTGAAAGCTTCAATTCTCTCTGTGACGTAGTGGGATTTAATGATTAATCACACTTCACAATTGATTCTTTCCACCAAACATGTGATGCAGTCACTATCTTGTTGTGAAACCTTCTTTACTCCTTAGGGTTGCTCCTCTCCAACAAAACCTTGTGGTTTACTAGAGCTGCCCACAACTGGGAGTAAGGTGGTCAGGGAGATGAAGGAGAAAGGAGGGAGTGTTAGAAACAAGAATGGTGTTTTTGTCTTTTCATTTTTAGTTTTAGTTTTATTAATCTGATTTAATTAAATTAATTTAACTAAATTACATAATTATTACATTAATCACTCATTAATTTAAACAAATATGGCAACTTAATATTTAATATTAAAGAAATGATATGACGTGAAGAGAATAAGGGGCTAGATCAGATTATTATCATCAACATCAGTATTTTTAATCCTATGCTAGCTAAATTGGACAGGAGTTAATCATCATGTACATGCATGGGACTTTTTTTATACACTTCTGGGTCTTTCACTGGTCATAGGAAGTTGATGATAGGGTTTGCAGGCTAAAGTTCACAAGGGCGTAAAATCACCAAAAAAAAAAAAAGTTAAGGGGCAAATTAGGGGTTCAATCAATAATTAAATATATAATATAATACTTGAAAAGTATATCAACCTGCATCCAATCTCTTTTCATGCTAGCTATAATGTCCCGTGCAGTTTTAACAACTTCAGAGTTCCCTTCTGGTAGCAGAGCTGTCAAGTATGTTTGTTAGTTTGTCTGTGTAATTTAGTGGAGAAGATATACCAGGTAATGTAAAAATATAAATGATTAAAGTATTTTTCAACTAGTTTTTATCAAACTAATTGAATGTTAAATAAAGGAAAACTTAAAAAAAATAAAAAATAAAAAAAATAATGAAAATATTCCCAAGAAAAAGTAGAGATATGACGAAAGTCTAAAGCTCCAATTTCCTGACCCAATAATGAGTAGAGATTCAAATGAAGCTCTAATTTACCTAACTCAAAACCTAAAACTTCTTCACACTCCAACCTCTAAAATCACTATTTGGCCAAGAACAGAATAAGCAATTATTAGCAGCTGTCTTGAATCCATTCCACCTGTTGTCCAAAAATTGAGACATTTAACAGTTTGGAGATTATTGTGAAAAGAAGACTAGAAAACCACATTGCCCACAAAAGCTATTTTCTACCTCACAACCTCTACAAAACAGCCTATTTCACCATCCATGAGGAATTCCTCATGTCACCCAACCACCAAAGAATAAACTTAGGCCTCTTTGGAAGGCTGGCTTCAAGAAAATTGAGCTCAACAGAGATCAGTATGGAGAACTATCTCAAACTGTACTAGAATCCTGGGAGATTAATTCTAACACACCACCAAATATGAAAGGCAAGTAAACAAACTAACCCAGATGTAGACATAATAATTACCAAAATTATCAATGTTAGATTAATTAAAAAGACTTACCATTTGTAAATTTATGGATAAATATCGAAGGATCAACTAGTTTTTGAATATTTCCATTGTCTGCCAGGTAAAGTTCATGACAAAGTTGCAAATATACAGCACCAATCTCGTAACTGCAAAAGAACCAAAAAGAGAAATAAAAAAGAAGGATCAAACAAATGGATAATGAATACCCAAAATACAACAAAATATTAATTCCTTACACATTCACACTCAAGTGATTTGAAAAATCTATCAGAAGGAATGGCTTGTTTTTTTCCCTGCACCAGAAAAGGTGGAAACCCAAGAACAAAATTAGTATATAACACAGCTATGGAATTTAAATAGAAAAAGACCTGGATGACAATGTTGGAAAGAAAAATATTTTAATACATAACACTATAAACTCAAAACATAAAATTTTTTTTTCTGGCCTCTGACTTGAAACATAAATAGATATCTCGTAGGAATAAATTTCACTTCATTCTCAGGCAGTCATTGTGAAAATAATAATAATAATATTTGAATGTCCATGCCCATTAGTCACACAATACATGAGGAGGCTCAATCTTCAATCCAACAGCAGCTCAGATTATTAAAGCATTTGAATTAGGCTTAATGGAGTTTCAAGCTGAAATTCAACTTAAAAAAAAGAGCTGATTGTTTAATCTAGTTGAGCTCAAGTAGCCATACTTGGCTTGGTTAATTTTCAATCTTAATTGAGCTTCACATATATTTTAAAACTACTTTAACAATAACTAAATAATTTCAATATTTTTAACATACTTGAACTTAATGGTACTTAGTCAAGCTAGAGGTTTTTATTGAAAGAATAGATATTGATGGAGTCAAAATCAAGTTTAATTCAAGTCTAGAATAGTTAATTAATGACCTCAATTCTTTGAAGCTCGATCAAACTTGAGCTTGGATCGAGCTTGAACTTGTCCCTGCATTCCCTTGGCTTTGTTCGATTACACCCATAATATTGACTGATGGATAAACAAACACAAAAGTTTAGCATTTGAGTCAAAACCTCTTCCCCTCATTTCTCAAAAACCTTTTGGCCAACCTCTAAGTTTTCTCCATTTTAAAACCTACAACCATAAATTTTCTGACCCTGCCACCATTAGGCTGATGTACCTGCCACCCCCCAATTAAAAAAAAAAAAGCATGGGGGGGAGGAGAATTTTAAGGCCTTTGGTTTAAGGGGATGGGAGGGAAGAAGATTTCACCATTTGGATAACGAAAAGGATTGGAGGGAGGGGAATGGAGGAATCCTTCTAAATTTGGGAAAATAAAATATATCATTTTAATTTTATCTTCTTCTTATTCTGCCAATATTGCTTTTTAATATCTAATTAATTTTTTTTTAAATAAATAACTAGGCATAAAACTATAATCCAAATCAAAATTAATCAATTTCTTTTTTGAAAATATATAATTATTTTGGATAAATTCAACAGATACTCTATTAACTATTTTTACCTATTTTCTATATTAACTATTTTTTGTATGAAACTAGTCTACTGAGTTTCAAAATTGTATCACATTTGTCTAGTCCTTTAAAGGTCTGTCTATGGACTAATGGAAATCCAAATTGGCACCTATGTGGTGATGCCACATGGTCAATCAAATTAATATTATAGAATATAATTTTTCCATTTTTAAAATTATTTTTTTTAATCAAAGAAACTTCAAGTTAGGGTAAAAAGTGAGTCCCATCTAACTTTTTTAATATTCAATTCTCCCTTAAGCTTTTCTTAGAAAGATCTTAATTTTTTTAATAATCGGTCTCACTTGAGATTTAACTAATCTAATTAAATTAATAATTTTTTGATTGAATTAAATTAATAAATTTGAAATTGATTCCCATCAAAAAAATAAATTTGGAACTAAAAACAAAAAAAATAAAAGTAAAACCAAAAGGGCGTGAAAATTTGTTTGGGAACTCAATTGAATAAAATTAAAAGCATATGTTTCAAAGGCAAATGATTGAGAGACAAAACCTTTTTGTGCAACTTTTTTATACAGCATTACATGTCATAATGATTGGCCTTTTTCACTCTGATAGGACTTGTGATATTGTATGTATTCACTCATTTAATGACATGTAAAAGTTGTACAAAAAAATTGTACAAAAAGGTTTCCATTGTGTTACCTTTGGCCACGTGGCACCTATGTGACTGCTACATAGGTGCCAATATTGATTTCTATTAATCCCATGCACAGAACTTTAATTGACTAGACCAATGTGCTCCAATTTTGAAAGATAATAGAGTGGTTAGATACAAAATATAGTTAATGAACAACAGGTAAAAAATAATAGTTAATAGACCGTTTGTTAAATTTAGCCTAATTATTTTATTTCCTTTCCTTCCCCACACTATATCTATTTTCACAGAAAACATTGCAACACAAGTCCTTATAGCTTTCGTCTTTGGCTAAAATTCTTTCATCAAGAATAATGTATACATGTGCAAGGAAAATGTCAAATCTATCTCCAAGTATCTTATTGGCCAAAAAATTAAATCTCCAAAGTATTGGTGTGTATGAAGGAAAACAGCAAAGAGTAAGAGGGAAGAAATATGTCAAAAACAGACGAACAGTTAGAGTAATAAACATTAATGACAGGAACCTAAACAACTTTTGTACAAAGTTCTATGGAAAATTGTAAAGTTATTTATCCAATCGAACTCTTAAACTACCTACCTACCAAAAATATGAGTTTGCAGGAATGAGTGTCTAAACTATAAGTTTATGGCCTATATGTAATCAGCAGGTGTGTGTAACAGATTGAAGGATATGCAACAGTATCCCTGTTCCTGACCAGAAGGGGGGAAGAAAGTGTTGAACATTACACAAGCACACAAAAGGCATAGCACAAACATAGAAAGGAAGAAATTCCTCACCGACATGCAAGGTAAAGACAAGAAGCCAGTACATGCTCCAACTTACGCCCCCTTGTTTTATTCCGATCAAGTAAAATCTTCAAAATTCAGATTGATAGGTTAGAGAAAATGACAAAAATAAACAGGCACAGAGACAAGTATACATAGATGCATAACACGCATGCATTGATACATGCATACATACATGAATGCATTAATACATGGATACATGCATGCATTAACACGTGCATACATACAAACACACATAAATACATGCATTTATCCCTTCCATCATTCATAAATACATGACCATAGAACTTAGATCAAGGAAACATACTTCATAAAACCTTTCAGCAGTGTTGACAACATCCTGGCTGTATTCATCAATATTCAGTGCATTAAATATTCTTGTCAAAATTTCACGAGCTGCATAACCAAAAACAAAAAGTTTAATTCAAAAACATGGCACTTGGAAATTGGGACTCATATTTGACTACAATGTTGCAAAAAGAACACCCAAGAGCCAGGTAAGAGGGATGGAGGTAGGTGAGTCTTTTATTTTTTCAATTTTCATATAAATTTTGGCAATTTTTGCAAAAAAAGACAATGCCTAGAGCACCTAGGCAAGGCTTGTTGAAACAACATCCATTAAGTTCATATTTTCTGTTTACTCAAATTCAAATGTGTGTGTCGAGATCAGGACCTTTGAATGAAATCTAGGCTCTTCTTCTTAATGAAGAGTACTTAGCTTTCCCCAAAAAAAAAAAAAAAAAGAGAAAAAATTGTTTTCTATGATGAAAAATGTTTTGCAAAACAAATGTAAAATATTGGCTGTTCTTTGACTAATAATTTAAGGGTTTATTTGTTTGATAGGGAAACATGTCAATCAAATTACCAGTTATGTATAGAAAATATTTTCCTACACATTTCTATGAGAATCATGTTTTCCTGTTGACTCAATTTCATATATTGCACAAAAACTAAACTTAACTACAAGAAGGAACAAAAAAATAAGGCAATACATGTTTCACAAAAGTAGAAAATATAAAAGACAAATAAGGCTTAGAGCTTCTTCTACTCATCCATCATCTAGGAAACACAAACATCAATTAGTTGGACAAGCCATAAATGAAATTTAACAAACATACCTCTTTCCAACGTGTTTTGGCGAGAAAGAAGTTCATTCCTTATACAGTTGACACGATTACCAGCCAACCTGCTCTGCATAAATATAATAATAATAATAATTAGACAATGGATTTTATGAAGATTAGATAACAAAAGGGGAGAAATCATAATATTAAAAAAAAGGGGGTCATATTTGAGAATAACAAATATTACTACATAAATCATACTTAAAATGCTTTTTACTGTTGGCCAAAAAAAAAAAATGCAAAGCAGTGTGCAATGCAACTCCTAGTTGCATGGTTGTTCCTTGTTTTGCAAGGTGGTGACAAAAAGTGAGAACAATGGCTAAGGGATTAAACCATGATTGATCATGACAGCTAAGGGTGTTCATATCCAATCCAAACTAATTGATCAAACCAAAACTTAACCAAACCAATTAAAAACCGATCCAAACCCCCATCAATTTGGATTGGTTTAGATTATAAAAGTTCAAAACCAATAAAATGGTTTGATTTGTGGTTTTACCCTCAAACCAACAAAACCAAACCAATTACAAGATAACTTCATTAAATAATGTAACTTTTTTACAATAAATTTATTTTTCTTTTCCAATTTTATCCTAATTAAGCATCATGAGTCATGCAAGCTCTATTTTTTTTTTTTTTCCATTCATGCAAGCCTACATTCAGTTGTATGCAACTACACATACATTGCAGTTCTCACCTCTCAATCTCTTTAATCGTAACTCCATAAATCATTGCTTTGCACAACTTACTTTTGCATCAAAATCAATAGGTAATACAATTCTACTTCATTACTTCTATATTATTTGCTTTCTTATAATGATTTAATTTCTTTTATCCTTTATTCTTGTTTTATGGTTTCATTGATTCCTTATTCCTTAATAAATATTATATATATATGTGAGAATAGTGCCCATTAGTCCTTACTCCAAGTAAGGCAATTCAGAAACATTATCCTCTTACTGCATATCAATTTTCTTATTGATAAAATATATCTACCTAGTTCATTGATTATATAAAATTTAACACCACTAAATACATGTTCGAAAATACAATTTCTTGATCAAATGGTTACTAAATGTTAATCAACTTGAAAATTGGCATACATGAACATTTAATCCACTGTTTTTTGAAAATATTCCCTGGAGTACTGATATGCACTATCCTATACACATATAAATGATCATTTTACATACAAGTCTTACACATAAGTTTAAAGCAAGCTATAATATATTTTGTGTAAGACTAGTGTGTAAGATGATCTCTTCTCTATCTTAAGAAGTCTTTTATGTGTAAGGAAATTTTTTTTTTTTTTTAAATAATTCGCATAAGATAGTTAATTTTCATAATTTTAGCTGATGATACATTGGTGGATTGGATTGGTTTAAAATTTTTACTAACCAATTAAATTGGTTTGGTTTTAAAAATGTTAAAAACCAAACCAAACCAAACCAAACCACATTGGGAACACCCCTAGTGAAAGCAAACTAGAAAGGATATACTTTAATTGGATTACTTCCATATGTTCCTAAATCTTAACAACAATTATAAATATCAAAAGAATTAAACATTTCAAAAAGGATTAGAGATAATTGAAATATAACATGCTAAAAAAAACTAAGTACATTTCCAATAACAAGCCCATAATCAAAGATTAAATCAGTTCCAATGCTTACCAACTAAAGATAGCAAGTGAAATAGCACCAAATCAGGTAATGAAAATAAATATTATATAAGAAAGAGGAAAATGCAGCGAAGAGCCATAAACCAAAAAATCCTCCCAACACCTAATTAGAGTTGCAAAACTTAAAAATAGCCAATTATGAGTCCTGGACTAGAAGCTAGAATCCAATTCAAGCCTCAAGTCTACCAATGTATAATCAATGGTCCAAATAATATAGTTAATAATAATAATAACAATAACAATAACAACAACAACAATGATAGCAAGAAAACAAAAGTGCAGCCAAACAAAATACATGTTCTCCAAATCCTAGTCTTGATAAAGAAAAAAACAATCGAGGAATAAAAACATGGAAACAGTAGTGATGAGAAGAAACCATTCAATCATGATTTCTGAACAATATTGGCCAAAAAAATCATGATTTCCAAGAGAATTATCCTCGTGGATGCATGCATTCCCTGGTCACACTTGGTGCCAATAGAACATATCCTCTAATGAGAGTCCAAAAGACAGTAAAGAATGGCATGAACTTAATCTCATCTCAACCCCACATAACTAATTCAAAACCAACATTTCTAAGTATCCCCATCACATTCATGTAATAGTGTCAGCAACAGAAACAACTTCCAATTTCCCATCCCAACATGTGGTGCCTATAGAACATATCCCTACATCCCTACAATTACCTTAAAATCAACATCTTGGCATGTGACAACCACCTCACCCATTCATAACCTTAAATACACCCAATTAGAACAGCAAACCATCCACTTCTTATGACACCATCACTTCATTTAACACCATGATTATTCCCACAGAGAATTCAAATTAAACTAACTCATCCTAAACTTAGATGGCTAGAATTAAGTTGCTTGACGACTGTCAACCAAAACAGTAATCTTCTACTTACTTTCTTTTGTACTTTAGAATCCACTTACTTTAGTCTAAAGTCTGCAAATTCCGAGCTTTTTTTCACTTATTATACACTTAAACCAAACAGATTCTCTTAAAACCCTCAAAAATTTAATTCACCATATAAAATTCGGACCAAAAAATTAGCAACTTGAATGAAAATAGCTTACAAAGCCAGCTGCATCTTTATAGTATTGGGACTCTTCCGAAAAGTTAAAATCTTCCAACACCTTCCCGCATTGATTACAGCATCTTCAACCAAAGCAAAGCAAATCAGCGAAATCAAAAACAAAAAAAACAAAATCTTATATTGTTCGCAAAAATCAAAAGACAAGCGAATTGTTCCATTGCTCGTGAAGGCCACTCACAAATGACCGTCGAAGGGGCGGTCTCCGGTAACATTTTTTGCGCAATTAAAGCAGAAAACCATTATCGGGAGATCGAAGGAGAACTATGAATGAATTACAGGGAATAGGATCGAATTTGAGCGGAGGAATTAAGAAACTTTTCGGTTCAGTTTAGCTATTTAGATTTTTAGGGTTTTAGGGAACGGGAGAAGAGTGGCGTTTGAGCTATGTTTGAGCAGGGTTAGGCACAGGCCTTACCCTGCCTCCAAAAAAATTTTGGAAGAAGGCCAAGCCCTGCTGCTCAGGCCCTACGGGATTTTCTCCTCCCAACTGCTGCAAATCGAATTGGCTTCTCCTGAACGTGCCCCTCTTCACGCACCCAAATCCCTTAAATCCTTCTGCAAAATCTCAACGAGGATGGATAAACATAAATTTCATTGAGGCTTTCTTCTCTCCCTGATTGCTGTACTTGGTTTTTTTTTTTCTTTTTTTCTTTTCTTTGGTACAATGTACTTGGCTATTTAAACAAAGTCAAAAACCACTTTTTACTGTTCTGGTTTAAGAGCTAGCGATGTTAATTTGAGGCAGATTAGGACAGTAGAAGTTGTTTTAAAACAAAAACAAGGCAGAAGGTGCAATTCAGCCCTTCTGCTTATAATGTTATGGCATGTTGTCTTCAATACTTGAAACCAGTGCAAATCAGCCCCTCAACTACAAAAATCCGCAAATTAACCCTTTTAGTAGAGAAACTCCATAATTGGATGATTTTCTATTTAGGTTTATCTGTTTGACTTCAGATTCTTTTCAATACCTCGTTTGTGCTTAACAAACCCTTCAGAGATAATTGATGGATTGTAGATTTCTGCTGGGGAGGTCTTTAGAAAAAAAAAAAAAAGTGAATTGCGTAGCAGCTAAAAGAGAATAAGCCAAATGTTGGATTCGTTAGCAATGTCTTAAATACTTGAAACCGATCTGAGGTTTCAAGGTACAAGCAAATTAACCATGAGATATTCTAATTCTCCAAACCAAAAGAGTAAGTTGAAGAGAATGTGATATCAATATACCATGAAAATTATAGGATAGTTGGAGTCTTACATATTTGTGGGTCAATCCCGCAAGTATGCGATATCTATTCCGCTTTGAGCATTACAGATCTTACAACTCGTTTCTTTCAATTTGCAAAATTTTATGGTTTCCAAAAGTTTGTGTTTTTATCTCATGTCATTTATAGACTCAACAGTAAAGAATAAACAAGATTACAGCAAATCAAAGTGAAAAGTTTAGCAGAGTATTTGTTGTTATTTCTCTATAGTTGTCATCAACAACAAAAATGGAGTACTGCGAACTGACCAAAATATTTGTTCTCCTCACCATAAAACTCTCATCATTGTATGCAGGGAAGAGTCGTGCTGTTATCCTTTTGTTTATCATGTTACAGTTTCTCTTTTTCATTCAGCCATCACTCGGACGCCAGAAACCCTTCATGCCAACGAGAAATTGGTCTTGATGAAGGCTTGTTGACCAGTGAAGTGAACGTAGCAGTGGATTTAGCTTGCCAATCATTTCCATGGTGTCTTGAATCAAAACATATCCACCTGGCCTCAGTATGCGATCCATCTCTGCAGCTACATCTGTAATGTCACACCTACAGAGATGGAAAATCAAAAATAAGCAAACAGAACCTAAAAGTTAAGATATAGGCCAAAATGTAATATTTGTTAATTCATTTTAGTTATTGATTCATCCAATCCTATGGAAGTCTCATAACTTCATTATTTAAAGTTATCGTCGCAACATACCTCTGTGTAAGGTTTTGGAAAAGCAAACTGGAGTGCAGTAGATCATATGTTCGAGGGTAGGTATTAAAAGACTCACACCAGTCATGATAGATTCCAATCAAACCCCTGTCAAAAATAAGAGGCAGAGTATCTTGTCCATGAATGGGGATGACATTCATCACCCATACAGGTAGATCAATTAGTGCTGCAGCAAATCTGTCAATCAAAACATCAAGTATCAGCAGGTGAAAAGTTTAAGGAAAACAGATTGATCAGAAGCCAATCAACATAATATAAGGAAACCACTGGTAGCAGAGAATTCATTTGATAAAACTAATTTATATTTTTGACAACCTATTGGCTCCAATTTTACTCAAGGAATAATAAAAGGTTATGCCTATACAGATATGAAGACTGAAAATTACTGGATAGATTCAAATCTCCTTCTTCTAAGTACTGACAGGTGTATCCATCATGAAGGTGGTAGTTGTACATCAAAACTCATATAGAGTTCACAAGCAAACAGGGGATAATCCTTAAGTTGATAGACTTGGACCTGGGACTTCTTAAGGTTTCAATTAATCCTTTACTATTAGAACGAAGGCCTCATTAAACCTAACACATTAGAGGAACTTGATATTCAAATGAACTCGTTATATTTCTTACCCTCCAAAACCAGCATTCATGTCCATCACATTTCGCACACTTGACCAGTTTATAGATAGACTGTCTAGATACACATCTGACACAAGTGCAGACCAATGTTTGGTATCCTCATTGAATATTTCTTCAGCATCTGGTTCAGCTGAAAGCCTTGGAGGTTTACTGCTAAGCCTTTGGGGCCATGGTGAGGGCCAACTGTACAAGTTTCCCTTGCTATCAGCTGGAAGTCTGGAGAGGCAATTAATAAGGGGAGTATACCTGTCATGCAAATTAACATCGTCACAAGAAATATTAACATGGTAAAGTTTAAACTACAATATACTACCATCTTTTTAAGGCATAAGCTGTCAATTTTGTTTCACCCTGACTCATGAAGTGATACAAAACCCAGAGCAGTTCTGTCCTTGAGTGTGCGCAAACGATAAAATGGAGATAATATGTTCTGAAAGCTTACCATGACACATTTTGCTGACCCTTTGGATCACACAGAGGTGGAAAATTTTCTTTGCGTTTCTCATAGCAGGAATAGGACACAGGCTTCTGATATATTACAAGCCCAATTCCAGTTGAATCAACAGTCTTAGCCACAGCTTTCCAGCACATAGCTGTTGTTAAATTTACCATGGCTGCAAATGTTCAGAAAAAAAATGTGCTCGATACAATCACAATCTACATTATTATACAAAAAAATTTAGAGTGAAATGATAGATTACAGAAGGAAAATTTATCATAAAGGAAAATTCATATCCCCCTCAAATCCACCAATCTCACACTTTCTGAGATGGGGGAGGGGGAAGGAGTATCATACTCACAGTTCCAAACATTATGGTCTCTTTCGTCATCTCGATAAACTGGGGTAGCAGACCATATAAAAAAGCCTCCTGGTCTAAGAATCCTATTAAGCTCCAATAATGGTTTCCCACCTGCACTTTAAACCAACAGCATTGCAAAATTCCCTTAGACTTCAGTATAAAGCACAGAGATAACAAGAGTACTGAAAGATGAAAATGAAAATAACAATTTTCAAACTTAATCATGAGAAGGTTAACAAAGTCTACCATCTGCATCCCAGTGAACTCTGCAGCGCGCACAATGAATCAAATCATAGGCATTTTCTGGAAATGTCAATGCTTTTGTACCAATAACAGACAATGTAGCAGGAATTCCTCGCTCTAGAGCAAACTGTATTTGAGCTTCATGTTCATCCTTTGGGGCAAAGGACATGGTAACGACATCTTTTTCCATCAAATAACCACCAAAGCTAGCAACACCACAGCCAACATCTAAAACAACTCTGATGTGCTTTGCCCATTTAATAGCTGGTAAAGTCTGATGCAGAAAGAGGGGAGAAAATGGGCAGAATGAAGCTTAGAAGCAAGAGAAAAAATGATCTTTGGGCTGCAATGTTTAGCCAAGTGCAGACAAAAATTGACAAACAAATAAAAATCAAATTAATAACTAAATTATTTGAACCAAAGAAAAAAATGAAAACTCGGTGGGAAGTTCAGTGGTCTAGTTTGTGAGAGATAGATACTCTAGGATAAAAAACCAGGTCATACCTTCTCTATAAACTCAATGTAGCTATTAACCCCATTCTTAAATTGAGTACCACCACCTGGGAAAACAAAATAATCACCAGATTTACGCACCCAATTCTGTTCCTTCTTGTATTCGACAAGCTTAGGATGAGGAACATTATCATACCAAATCTGGAAAACAGAAATAATAATCACATGAACCACATATTAAACTCATAAAGCACACGAAAACTGTGTCAAAGCAGCACACCTCTTTCATCATAACTTTAGCAACCTAGCTCACAAAAATAAGAAAAAAAAAGTGCAACCAGTTCTAGAAGGTTGAAATTCAGTAATATGAACTTTACTTGCCAAATAGACAGATAGTAATTCAACTAAAATAAGTTCAGTTATGATGGCAAAAAAAAAAAAAAAAGCATAAGTTCAGTTACTTTAAATTATTAATCAACAAACAAATCATGGCTGATCAAAAATAAAAATTCATAAAAAAAAAAACCGAGAACAATTAAGGTAAAACAAGATAAAAGACTGCTACTCAATCCGTTGCAAAATCATCAATTCACCACGCAACATAGAAAATCCGAAACTGCTTTAATTCTATGCAAATCGTTTGCAAATTACCTGTTCCACATATTCCAACCTACAAGACTAAAACATCCCCAAAAATGTTACCACACAGAGCAGAATAAAATTGAAACCATGTGATCCGCTCTAATTCATGGCTAAAACGCCCATTTCATGGATATTTCCCATCACCCAAATATAAATGCTAGCCTGACAATCAATCTTTTGCTGAAGTAAAAATGAAAAAAATTACTCAACCAAAACTTATCAAACAAGATCAAGACAGTATGTAAAACAAACTACGAGAATCGAAAAAGAATGCTTTCTTTGATCCAATTTTAAAAAAATTAAGAATGAAAGAAATTAACAAAAGCCGATATCTATCTTACCAAAAAAAGGCATGAGACAATCTCACCATGTCCCTGCTCTTAGGCCACGGAACTGGAATCTTATAACCACTAGGCAACGGCACCAAACAGCGTGGACTCGGCTTAGGGCAATACCTTTCCCGGTGCTCCATGTGCCTCCTCGACTTCAATGCTTTTATGGCTTGGAAGTTATCCAAACACGGAATGTAATCAACTGCCACCGATCCCTTGCACAGCACCCACTTCATATCCAAACTCTCACTCGAATCAAAATGCAAATCACCTGAACCACGATCTGGCGGTGGCGGCGGAGGAGGCAAACTTTCATTAGCCGGAACAGTCTCGTTCTTGGATTCCGACTGAAAGTCGTCATTTCTGCGGGGCAGCGATTGTGATTCTGATTCTGATCCTGACTCTGGCTCCGGCTGTGGATTCTGTTGTTGTTGCGATTGAGAACGCTGGAGATCGGAGAGTGAGAAGGAAACGAGGGAATAGTTGTTGGAGAGCAAGAGGACGACGAGGGAGGCAAGGAGGAATGCGAGGGCAAAGAGGAACGGGAACTTCCTCTCCGTCAAGAGGTTTCGCACCAATATCGCCATCTTGCCGGAGATTCTCAGCTCGAGGTGGGAGCTTCAACTGAATTTACTGAGGAAGAGGGAGACTGAGGGCGGTGGATCTTGTGACGTGGTGATTACTGTACAGAAAATTCGAAAAATCGTTGTCTTTCTAAAAAATAAAAAAAGAAACTCCGTAAGTCCGCATATAGGTCCGTATCTTTCACGTCTAAGATTTTGCGTGCGTATGCAAAGGGATTGTTTGGTTTTGTAAAAACTTAAAGAGTACTATTGTTTTACATTTAAATATTTGATTATTACTTTTTTATATTTAATAATAATAAATTATATAAAAATATTTTCTTTCACTTTAATTTTCTTTTATTATACCCAAAATTTAAATTTAAAATTTTTAACTTAAAATTTTAATTTATCGATCATTGAATCATTACTCAAGTAGTTAAATACTTAATTTTAACTATTTGATTATAAAATATGAATCATTGAATATATGTAAATTAATATATGTTAGAATTTTATTCATTTTTTGCTATTAAACCAATATAAATTTGATGCATGTTTTATATGAATGAAATAATAAATTTAATAGTTAATTATTTAAAATATTGGTTGTATTAAAAATTATAATAAAGCATAAAATCCTATGTATATGTTGATCCAATAAATTTGAAATTCTTTATATTTATGTGAAAATTGCCCAACAACAAATATTAATATGTGGCTGACTTTTTCATGGCCCCTTTTTTCTCCTCACAAAACAACATTATGCATTAAACTAAACCAAAACAGTTTAGTAACATAGCCAAAAGACAAAGAAAACAGAGACAAAAATAGCAGAAGGAAAACAACTAACTGGAAATCAAAACATGACACTTCGATCAATAAGTCTAGCTACTAGCTACCAAATAGGATGAACCATAACTGATATAAGCTATCTCTTTGCACCAGAACGAGAAAGGACTGACTTCGATGAATAGTACCTTCTTTGTTGAACAAGCGTTTCCATTTTTGTTTTTTTGGTTTTTTGGTTTTTTGGTTAAAGAAAGAGAGAAGTGTGGAGTGAGTTTGGATACACAAAATAATTTGAGATTTGTAAAAATTCTTTATGACATCAACTCTGTAATTGCCATTGTAATTTTATAGGAAGTAAAATTATGGGGATGTTGGTTGAAGAACACTAGCGAACATTCTTATTAATCAAGCGTTTCCATTGCTTGTCCTCTAATTCATTCAACAAAATCTTCTAAGTAGGGAGAGATACTAGGAGATTACGGTTGGAAAGGGATTCAATATCTACCTTCGACCTACCTACATTCATTTTTATTGCAAATGAACTGACATTTTTTTTTAACAGGTACAAATTTAAAAAGGCGAAGGATTTGAATCCAACACTTAAAGTTAAAAGTATACCTTTTTTAATTAAGATTTATAATTAATTGGTCTTATAGGCTAGGTGCGCTATTGCAAATGGATTTGAAATCCTGAAAAACTGGGTAAATATGGATTATAGGATGAGGGAAAAATTCCAACTTCTTTACCCTTGAGAAAACAAAGGAATCTCTTGTTTTCTTAAAGAGCCATTCATGGATCAAACATCGCAATAGACTCCAACGCCTAAGGCCAGAAATACCCCCATTTATATCAGATTATCCCCCTCATCAGCCACACCATCCCAAAAGCAAACACTACTTTTAACCTTTTCCAATATAAACTTAAAGGGAAATAAAAACAAGTTTAGGATTAAATTCTGTAATCCAAAGGAACTTGGCAAATCCACCCTCTAACACCAAAACAGTTTCCAGAACTACCAATCTCACCCATTAAACTAATCTTTAAAGCACTAAAACCATCATATATCACTACAAGAAAGGGGATTTTTAGTGATAAAAAATTGTAACAAATGTTATAATCAACACTATAACTCATTACATTCGTGACAGAATTTAAAAATTAGTCACAAATGCAAATATATTCAATAATGATAAAAAAAAAATTCATCATTAAAAAGGTATTTCAACATTGAAAAATGGTAACAAATAAAAAACAAGTTTGTTACAATAAAAATCATTACTATAACTCATCCCAATTAAGACAAATTTCAAATATTTATCACATATACCTTACACATTCAATAATGATAAAATAATTCATCACTAAAAATATATTTCGTCACTAAAAATTGTCACAAAAAGAATACAAACTTGTAATGATAAAAATCATCACTACAATTCAACCTTATTGAAGTTTTTTTTAATTAATGCATCCTATATCGGTAAAAAACACATAAAAAAATAAGGTTTTGTACTATAAATATATACCACATCAATAAGAAATATTTAAGAAAATAAAGTTTTACACTATAAAACTAGTGATTACTTGCAAACTAATTAATTGACACTTGTGCTTAATTTTATTTATTTGAATTCTATTTGAGCAATATAATGTGAAGCTCAATAAAACTTGAGCTTAGTTTGTGTTTGATTAATTTTAATTGGACTTGATTAATTTTAATTAAAATTAATTAGTGTTGAAATAATAATATTTTTTATTAAACTTTTGTGATAAATTTATATATCAAAATTTTTTTTGTGACAGAATTTTTGTTACAATATTTGTGTTGTGATTATATAAAGATATTTTTGATTTAATATTGTTGTACCTATGATTTTGATTATTACAAAATACATTTGAATGACTAATTGGTTTATTTAAGTGTGTAGTTAAATTGCTAAAAGATTATAAGTAAACTTGGATTGCACTAAAAATAGACCAGAAGGATTCAAAATGGCAGAGAGCCGGCTCTAAAAAGCTGCAGCCGACTCTAGTGAAATGGAAGTGCAGAGAGCCGGCTCTGGAAGTTGCAGCCGACTCTACACGCAAAAATTTGAAGACCGTTGCTTGGCGTGCGCGGAGAAAAGACGCAAAGTCGGCTCCAACTTTACAGCCATCTGTGAGGGTGCATTTAATGCACAACGGTTGAGTTATTTGAAGATTATTTAATGTATTTAAAGTCGGAGTTCCAAAGCCGGCTCAAAGTTTTCCAGCCGGCTTTCGAGGAAAACAGAATGGCCTGCAAACCTGGATAGCCGGCTTTGGAAGTGTAAGCCGGCTCTCGAAAGCTAAGCCGGCTCTCCTAACAAACCTGCAGCTCGAGTTTTGCGTCCTGCAGAGCATTTAATGACTTCCAACGGCTAGTAATGACTATTTTCGAGCAAGGGGGTATAAATATGGGTGGTAACAGATCTGAAGAGGTTAAGAGTGTATTGTATTGAATATCTTTAGCTACCTACATGAGCTTTGACTTGAGATTTTGATCTTTGAGAGATCTTTATTTGTAATCCTCTTCTTGTGCTATTAGTAAGTGATCTTGGGGGTGTGTTGATTCCTTCAAGAGTGATCTATTGAGAGGATCTTTGGGGTTTAAGTGTAAAGAGGTGAGATTTGAGAGAAACCCTTCTTCTTGTAAAGGATTGAGTGGCTTCTTTAAGCCACCATTGTTTTTCCTAATGGAGAGTGTGGAGGAAATCCTTGGTGAGTGAAGTCAAGGTAGAGGATTAGGCTCCAAGTGGTTGGACCGAACCTCTATAAATTCATTGTGCAAGCTCTTCTTCTCAACTCTCTCTTTAATTTTTGTTTGGTGGTTGCAAAGAGGTGAAAATTCTCCAACTCCAATTCACCCCCCCTCTTAGAGTGCATTGAGTTAACAAATATCAGTTTTAATAATTAATAACTAAATTTTTCATCACAATTGCATTTGTAACATTTTTTTTTTTGGTCACTCAATTGTAACATTTGTGATAAAAATTATTGTAACAAAGAATATTTTTTTGTGATGACTAAATTTGTTATAAATAACTTATTAATAATGTAAATTTTTTTCATTACTATAAAATTCTTTTCTGTGATAGGTGTTAAATTTGTTATTAAAAGCATTAGTGACAAGGTTTTACTAGTGATTTAAATTTCATCATTAATTTTAGTTTGTGATAGAAAATAAAAGTTTAATGACTAATAATTTAGTCACTAAATGTCGATTTTCTTGTAGTGAGGTATGCTGGCTGTGCAATTTATCTACTGCTAGATAACAAGGCTTAGTATGTTGGTAAAGGGACCATTTAAATGATTTCTGAAAATTCAAATAAATTTTGGCAAAAAATTATTCTATCGACGTGTATTGCCAAGCTGTTTGGTGGAAAATGATGGCTGAAAATACTTTTAAATATTTCAGCTAAATATTACTTGAAATGTTAGTATATTTGTAAAAGTGGTTTTAAGGTATCACTGCTCTTATTAAAAAGATAACTAAAAAAGAAGAGGCTCTTCTAGGGACAAGTTTGAAGTTGATCCAAGGCAATGGCGGAGCTAGGATTTATTGAGAGGGGGAGCCAAATTGTTGAAAAAGGAAAATGAGAGAAATAAGCTCTAAAAATGTTTAGTAAGGACCAAAACAGATTTTATAAAGGATCTTTTTTAATTAGTGAATATTTTTTAGTTACTTTTGTGCAAAAAAAAAAAAGTTTAAAAAATCAATTAAAAAATAAAAAAAATTAATATTTTTGTAATAGTAAATTACATCAAATAACAATAAGAGGAAAAATTAGGTCTAACCACTTAATAGTTTCTTTTGGGTTTGGAATAAGGTTTTATCACTAACTCGATAAAAAAAGGACTAAATAGTGCGTACAGTTAAATATTTTAAATTGGTTTTAGGCATGGTAAAGAAAACAATTTAGGGTTCTTTAGCAAATAGAGGATGATGAAGAGAGGAAACAGGAGATATGTTCGACATTTATAGGTTTTTTTGTCAAAAATTTAGAATTTTTTTACCGACCCTTAAGTTTAGAAATTAAAAAATGTTTTTATATTCAATAAACTCACTAACTATTATGTTAACGTTGAATTTAAATTCTACCATTGAAACTAATACAACAACCAATTATGATTTTTTTTTTTATCAAGTAATGATGACTATTATCATAAAGGTTAGGAATATTAGCTGAAACAAAATAAAGGTTTTGACAAAAATATCTTATATTAAAAAGATTGACAACTAATGGTAGAATTTATTATTAAAAATTAAAAAATTTGGGGTTACATTCAATTTTTTTTCAAAAGTTCAAGGGGGCCACCGCCCCCTGGTCTACACTTGGCTCCGCCCTTGATCCAAGGGAAGACACATCAAAAAAGATACTTTTTTCCTGTTTTCTTAACTATATATTGTCATGAAGCATCCAATTAATGTATATTATCTAGTTAAACAATAAATAGTCTAGTGATCATCTCTCTTGGAAGAGAAGTGTTAGGATATAAAATCGTAAATTTTACATTCCGGCACTATTAATATCCCACCCTCAAAAATTCCCTAAGTTCGAAAACAAAAAAAATGTATATATTATCTAAAGACACGTATAGGTATATATCCTTGTTACTGACATTCCACATAATGCAGTCAACATATCATACAGCCTAAATTTTTTGTTACTTCTTCCACTGCGGCATCCTCTGTACCACAACCTGAAACCAAAGATTTTGAATCTATTTAACACAGTATCACTAAGAGGGTATCCCTTGTCTTTCTTTTTTCATTCTATGGGAGATCCTATCCTATATTTTCAGCTAGTCTACAATCTTTTTCTAAGAGTTGGAGCTTGTAACTTTTTCAGGGAAGGATTAAGAATAAAAACAACTTATTCTGTACCGAAGGAAAGAAAGTAAGAAGAAGAATAGTTTATGCATCATACCTTACCAGAGTTGTCCTTATTTCCCACAATTGTCTGACAAGCAAGCCTCCAGGATTCCGGTTTCTGCATATCAGAATCATGGCTTTAAGTAGCAAGGATAAATGAACAGACCCCCTTCTCCCCCTAAACATTCATAAACCAAGAACACACACATGACAGAATACAAGTAATTTTGCTTTTATAACACGCTAGTTTGATCATCCATAGAACCAAATTGATCAGCAAATTATTCTCTCTTGCGATTAGAAAGAAATTCTATCACATGAAATCATCATCCCAACATAAA